GGGGGCGGGTTTGGTAATTGTCAACCCCGATTAAGAATAACTCTGGTTGATCGGTAGGGGGGCACCGCCCCAAAGATAATCTGTCACTGAAAATACCAATGGCCATGGCTTAGGTATCTGTTGTGAAACATGAGGTGTACCCCACCAAAAACACCAGCCGAACGGTTGGAAAAGGGACATCTATCCTGTTCATGCAGCTATGGCTAGGGAATGTTCTGTGTTCGATATATTTCCCCATTGATTGCCAAAAACCATCCACTAACCTGCCCTTCACCACAGTTTTCCCTGAACACATTGGTACTTGGATGTCGCTGCCATGCTTGAGAAAGCATCAGCACCTCGTTCTCCTCAGCTTTCTCTTCCTCCTTGGTCGCGCCATCGCCATCCTTGGAGGCCTTCCGGTAGACAAAATGAGAAGCCGTGCCAATCCAACAAGCCAAGGCTGAACAATATCTTGATGCCAAATCACAATAATGCATATATGTCATTCATAGCTAAAAATGAGCGCAAATAAGTACAAACACAGTACGTTATATTATATATAGAGAGAGAGAGAGAATTAGAATATTTCACCGACTGAAGAGAAACTAGTTTTGGGTGGTTTCCCTTCGTCACCGTCACTCTGTGTCACCCGATGTCAAATTGCAGATATGGACAAAACAGCCTGCATGTGTTTATTGTTAGGATATTGTGAGGTGTCTGCAATTTGCCCAGCAGAATGCTTGACGCCCCCTGCGGCAAAATAAATCTATTATATAGCTTTTTGCTGCCATGTGTATCCATTTGGATCTAGCAATCTGCATGAGCATAGGGCGTGCCATGGGGACATCATGTCTGGCCGTGACTGCATTGCGCCAGAATCACTAGGATAGTGACCATCCTCCATCGGGCTCAACATGGCACTCCGCTTAGGTGACAGTGCCAAGGATCTGGATCAACATCTCTACACCCGGACCCCATGCGCCTGATCTTCGCTGGTGGGTTTCGCATCGTCTGCAGATGTGCCAGCCTTTCAGGGAAACAGAAAACAACATGAGGTGAAGAAATGAAAGTCCTTGTCTTGAAAATGGTTGACTTTCGCCAAAAGACTAATGCCTTCCAATGCCATTTTTGGGATCGTCGCGTTTTTTGGCGGGTATGCGTGGTGCGACTGAAGTCACAAGGCCACACCGTAGTGATACAAAAGAAGAAACTGAGGGTTATCTTGTTGGATAGCCCCCTTCTATGGTTTTTCTTGTTTAGTGAGCTTGCATTTAGGGTAGGACCTAGGGACCTAGGATGCTTCTGGATGGTGACAGTGCCAAGGATCTGGATCAACATCTCTACACCCTGACCCCATGCGCCTGATCTTCGCTGGTGGGTTTCGCATCGTCTGCAGATGTGCCAGCCTTTCAGGGAAACAGAAAACAACATGAGGTGAAGAAATGAAAGTCCTTGTCTTGAAAATGGTTGACTTTCGCCAAAAGACTCATGCCTTCCAATGCCATTTTTGGGGTCGTCGCGTTTTTGGCGGGTATGCGTGGTGCAAACAGAAGTCCCAAGGCCACACCGTAGTGATACAAAAGAAGAAACTGAGGGTTATCTTGTTGGATAGCCCCCTTCTATGGTTTTCCTGTTTAGGGAGCTTGCCTTTAGGGTAGGACCGAGGGACCTAGGATGCTTCTGGATGGTGACAGTGCCAAGGATCTGGATCGACATCTCTACACCCTGACCCCATGCGCCTGATCTTCGCTGGTGGGTTTCGCATCGTCTGCAGATGTGCCAGCCTTTCAGGGAAACAGAAAACAACACGAGGTGAAGAAATGAAAGTCCTTGTCTTGAAAATGGTTGACTTTCGCTCATGCCTTCCAATGCCATTTTTTGGCGGGTATGCGTGGTGCAAACAGAAGTCACAAGGCCACACACCGTAGTGATACAAAAGAAGAAACTGAGGGTTATCTTGTTGGATAGCCCCCTTCTATGGTTTCTCTTGTTTAGAGAGCTTGCCTTTAGGGTAGGACCGAGGGACCTAGGATGCTTCTGGATGGTGACAGTGCCAAGGATCTGGATCGACATCTCTACACCCTGACCCCATGCGCCTGATCTTCGCTGGTGGGTTTCGCATCGTCTGCAGATGTGCCAGCCTTTCAGGGAAACAGAAAACAACACGAGGTGAAGAAATGAAAGTCCTTGTCTTGAAAATGGTTGACTTTCGCTCATGCCTTCCAATGCCATTTTTTGGCGGGTATGCGTGGTGCAACTGAAGTCACAAGGCCACACCGTAGTGATACAAAAGAAACTGAGGGTTATCTTGTTGGATAGCCCCGTATTTAGGGTAGGACCGAGGGACCTAGGATGCTTCTGGATGGTGACAGTGCCAAGGATCTGGATCAACATCTCTACACCCTGACCCCATGCGCCTGATCTTCGCTGGTGGGTTTCGCATCGTCTGCAGATGTGCCAGCCTTTCAGGGAAACAGAAAACAACATGAGGTGAAGAAATGAAAGTCCTCGTCTTGAAAATGGTTGACTTTCGCTCATGCCTTCCAATGCCATTTTTGGGACCGTTGCGTTTTTTGGCGGGTATGCGTGGTGCAAACAGAAGTCCCAAGGCCACACCGTAGTGATACAAAAGAAGAAACTGAGGGTTATCTTGTTGGATAGCCCCCTTCTATGGTTTTTCTTGTTTAGGGAGCTTGCATTTGGGGTAGGACCTAGGGACCTAGGATGCTTCTGGATGGTGACAGTGCCAAGGATCTGGATCAACATCTCTACACCCTGACCCCATGTGCCTGATCTTCGCTGGTGGGTTTCGCATCGTCTGCAGATGTGCCAGCCTTTCAGGGAAACAGAAAACAACATGAGGTGAAGAAATGAAAGTCCTTGTCTTGAAAATGGTTGACTTTCGCCAAAAGACTCATGCCTTCCAATGCCATTTTTGGGATCGTCGCGTTTTTTGGCGGGTATCCGTGGTGCGAACAGAAGTCACAAGGCCACACCGTAGTGATACAAAAGAAGAAACTGAGGGTTATCTTGTTGGATAGCCCCTTCTATGGTTTTTCTTGTTTAGTGAACTTGCATTTAGGGTAGGACCTAGGGACCTAGGATGCTTCTGGATGGTGACAGTGCCAAGGATCTGGATCAACATCTCTACACCCGGACCCCATGCGCCTGATCTTCGCTGGTGGGTTTCGCATCGTCTGCAGATGTGCCAGCCTTGCAGGCAAACAGAAAGCAACATGAGGTGAAGAAATGAAAGTCCTTGTCTTGAAAATGGTTGACTTTCGCCAAAAGACTCATGCCCTCCGGGTTTAATTTTGTGCCCCCGATTCTTGTGTTGCACTGGTTGCCACTGGTGCAGTGGTTCAACCTGCCGCCGGAATCATGGGAGACCTACGAAGTGAGATGTGATGTGGTAATGGGTATCCCCCAAGTCTTTTGGGGTCTGTACGTTCAAGGGTCAAGTTCAATTTCTGTGCCCCCACTTCCGGACATGGACCTCATCAGGTTGTTTGTCGTCCTGGTCCTGGTTTCCTTGTTCATCGTCCTTTTGATCATCGTCCTTTTGTTCATCGTCCTTTTGTTCATCGTCCTTTTGATCATCGTCCTTTTGTTCATCGTCCTCTTGATCTTCGCCTCGGGCAAGAGAGTTCAAGCATAAGGATGGTGATGATGACGATGATGATGATGATGACGACGATGATGATGATGACGACGATGACGATGACGATGGCGATGGTGACGATGGTGATGTCGGCGAAGACAATGATCAAAATGGCGATGTTGATGACGATGTTGATGACGATGGTGCAAGTGATGATTAAAATTATGATGATGAAAATGGTGATGATGAAAATGGTGATGATGATGATGATGATAATGATGAAGTTATTGATGTTCATGATGGCGGTGACAATGATGACAATGTTGATGTTCAGATAATGGTCATGATGACGGTGGCAATGACGACGACGATGACGACGACGACGACGACGATGACGACGACGACGACGACGACGATGATGATGATGGTGATGATGACGATGATGATGATGATGGAATGGCGATGGCGATGAGGAGGAGGAGGAGGAGGAGGAGGAGGAGGAGAAAGAGGAGCATGGGAATGAGGATGAGGATGAGGATGAGAAAGGTGATTGTGACGATGATGATGATGATGATGATGTTGTTGATGATGATGATCGTGATGATCATGACAACCATGATGATCGTGATGATGATGATGATGACGATGATGATGGCGATCATGGCGGCTATGGCGATCATGGCGATCAAAGCGATCATGGGGACCATGCCGATCATGGCGATCATGGCGATCAAAGCAATCAAAGCGATCCTGGGGACCATGGCGATCATGGCGATCATGGCGATCATGGCGATCATGGCGATGATGGCGATGATGGCGGTGATGCAGATGATGCAGATGATGGTGATGATGGCGATGATGGCGATGACAGCGGTGACGACGGTAATAGCGATGATGCAGATGATGCAGATGATGCAGATGATGCAGATGATGCAGATGATGCAGATGATGCAGATGGTGCAGATGATGGAGATGATAGTGATGATAGTGATGATGGTGTTCCTCTAATTCCCGGCAAAGTACTCTTTTCGGCATCTGGCTCGGGCTGGGAGAGGCCACTCTGTTCGTCCTGGTCGTCCTTGTCCTTCTCAAATTCCTCGTTCTGATCTTTGTCAAAGGGGTCATCCTCCTCCTCTCGGGGCTTCTCGTCATCGTCATCGGGGTTCTGTTGCTTCTCCTGATCTCAGCAGCACCCTAAATTCATGGTGCTGACCTCTGGGTGGAAGAGATGCACGGCAAAAAAAATGATCACCAAGAATCAACCACATGCCTGTCACGTTGATGATAAAGATGGTTTGGTTTATTTGGATCATCACTCAGAAGCCAAGTTGAACATCAGCTGTGGTTAGAAGCTATCAGTCACCTATAACTCATAGGGAATAACCTCACAGGGGGTTGTAAGCCATTTAATAGAAAACTAGAGCTCCTCATCGTCATCATCCTTCTCTTTCTGGTCATCTTCATCCTCAAAATGCTGCTTACCTTGTTGATCTTGGTCCTCATTGCCCAGCTGATCTTGGTCGTCCGCATCCTTGCTTCTTTGCGCAAGGTTGTCGTCATTTTCTTGCTCTCTCTGGTTGCTGTAGGGTTTCCTCAGCCAATGGGTGATCAAGACCCCGGCACGCTGGTGAACATCAAACAATAGCTCGAAAAGGCATCATCCCGTGAAACAGACATCACATTACACCCGGCAAGAGGCCCCAAACAGTGTGGAGGGTAGGAGGACAATGTAAGGAGCCCTATATAAAGGATACCACCAGGACCTCTTCAAGAGCTTCCCACGAGGAACTTTACAAGATCGTGCAAAGGCCTCTGTCAACGTTTAACCAGGATCTCCACAAGATCTTTTCACAAGGAATTGTACAAGACGTGGGCCAAGATCCCCGAAACAAATCTCACAAGACCGTCATAAAAGGACCTGCTGCTGCTGCTGGGGCGGATCGCACAAGATCTTGATACAAGAACCTCCCAAGAGCCTTCCACAAGAGCTTTCACACAAGCACCTCTAAGACATGGCATCTGCAAGATCTTCACGCAAGGACCTCTTAGAGAGGACCCCACCAGGATCTCCACAAGATCCTCCCTCTCAGAGAGGAATGTAGAGAGGAATGTGGCAGGATCTCCGCAAGAACCCATGTATGTGAGAATTGCGCATCGAAAATGCACATGGACATCTCATAAGAACAATTCTATGCGAGAATTTGCAGGAAAATGCCGGGGCCCAAAACTTTGGCGCACACTTTGTTTGAGCCTGTGCCGTCGAAACACACATGGACATCTCACAAGAGCAGTTTTATACGAGAATTTACCGGAAATGCCAGGGCCCGAAACTTAGGCGCACACTTTGTGCGAGCCTGCGCGGTCGAAATGCACACGCACATCTCACAAAAGAATTTCGCGCAAGAATTTATAGAGAAAACGCCGGGGTCCAAAACTTAGGCGCACACTTTGGTGCAAGCCTGCACAATCGAAATGCACATGGACCTCTCACAAGCCTATGCGAGAATTTACAGGAAAGAGGCCAAGGCCCAGAACTTAGGCGCACATTTTGTGCCGGCCTGCGCAATCGAAATGCGCATGGTCATCTCACAAGAGCCATCTTTGGAGAATTGACAAGAAAAATGCCGGGCCCCAAGGCCGGGACAACACCCTTACCCACATCTGGCGCGAGCGTGCGCAATCAAAATGCACATGGACATCTCAAAAGAACATTTTTATGCAAGAATCTGCAGGAAAATAGCCGGGGCCCAGAAGTTGGCCGCACACTTTCTACAAGCCTGCACAGTCGACATGCAATGGACATCTGACAAGAGCCACTTTATGCAAGAATTTCCAGGAAAAATGCCGCGTCTCAAAACCCGGAAAAACTCGTGGCGCAGACCGTGCCGACTTTGTGCGAGCTTGCGCAATCAAAATGGACATGGACATCTCACAAGAGCAATTTTATGCGAGAATTTAAAAAAAGGCCGCAACCCAGATGGAGCACCCCTCAAACCCCGGCCTTTACTCCTACCGTAAAAACCCCTCAGTGTGGACACATGTGGACACACTATTTGGGGAAAAGTACGTTTTGACCCGTCCCTATGTGTTTTCAACGGAAACCAGACCCCGGGGCGAAAGGCCTGTGTTGCACCAACAGCCGAGACAAAAGGAATCAGCAACTGCCATTCGAAAACACGCCTCAGAACACCTCAGAAACCCTGCAAGGATCCTGGCTCTCTGGATCTACTTCGGCACCTCTAAGGTGCCCCGAAAGGTCACACCCCAGCACTATTGAGAAGGCAAGGTTCTCCCCTTCTCCTGGCTGTTCCTGACGCCCGTACCGCAAAGATTGGGATTTGAATTGCCAAAAAATCGGATGACCAAAAACAAAGATTTCACCCACAAAACTGCCCATTGCCCTCCAACACTCTCAATTTTTTTCAGGCCGTTTTGGGGTCCTTCGTGGCCATCTGCAGCCCACCAAAGCTGGCTGCATCGCTGGATGAGGCCCCCGCCGCCGCAGCGCGCGGCGGCAGCGGCATCTCGCTGGGCGAGGGGAACATCACTACCTTCACCAACACCACAAAGAGGAAGCAAACCCCAACCGCCAACATGGCCGTAGTCTTCGTATCTGAGCGGAGAAGTCTGAATTTTGGAGCTTGGAGATATCTGGATGATGGCGAATTTTGGGAAGTTGGAGGCTGGAGATGTTTGAAGGCTTGAAAACGCTTGGAAGGTCGATGGGTGGTGATTGTGCCCAACCAATTTTGGGATGAAACCGATGATGCACGAAGCACTGCTGTTGTGTTAGCAGCAAGAAGTGGGATAAGGTCATAAGTAATACCTGATAGTATAGATACAATTTTAAAAATCGCGTATATAAATATTTATTATGTATATACATATACATGTATATATATATATACCACACTTTATATATGTTATAAACAATGTGTATAATATATATATACATATATACACACACACATATTTATATGTATATATAACATATATATATATGTATATGTGTGCGTGTGTGTGTGTGTACAGTATAATATAAGATTTGATTTGATTTAAAATTATATTATGCCATATTTTGTATGTTATACTATTTTATATTAAATTTATCCCAGCAATGCCAAGAATATGATAGGATATACAGTAATAGGCACATGTTGGCCACGATTATCACAAATGTATAACCAACAGCACAAGGATTACCAACACAACCAGCTATCTTGCACTGCAAGTATCTTTCCAGCTGAGGTTTATGCATGTCTGTTTCTTGTAAGCCTGTAAGGCTGGGATTGCATGGATGTGCATGGCCACTTCCACCAATGCCATTGGCATTGCTGACCGGCCACTCCGTTAATCCACTGCACCCAACAGAACCAGATGGAACCAGGGCGCTGAGCTTGATGCCAAAAGGGAATTCTTCATCGATGTCATGGCTTGTTTGCCCTTTCTTTGGCCTGGTCATTGCTGAGAGGTGCTGAGACGTGCGGGATCCTAAGCCGCGGCACCTCTGGATGCAACTGCGGCTATGAGAATAGCAACACCATGGCCATTGGGCCATGGCTGTGGGGGGTTCACATGTTCGGAACAGGCGGCAAGCCGACTCGCCTCCATCTGCCTCTTAAGAGGTCTTCTTCCTCCTCATAGTTGGCACCCACTCGATTTGGCAATGGCATACCACAGCATGGGCTGCCCGGCTGAGCCCGGCTGAGCCAGTGATCTGAAGGCCGGTAGGCCACTTGTGCTGTCACTGGTAAGCCACGGTTGCGGCGGAGTTGCTGCATTTCGCCGGTAGCAAACACACAGGATCCAACCATATGTCAGCCAATGACAAACTGGTGGGGTTAGGGGTTGAAGGATCCCTGGGTAACCTCTGATTAGAGGGTGTGTCTGAAATTCTCAAAATAGGGTACCTGGGTACCTGCTAAATCCACTAGTTAACGGATCATGTTCCCCATTGAAATTGCCACAGTGGCGCTGTCTTTCTGTTGTTCACCCATCTTCAGACCGACCCATAGGTCCCATAGGTGATCTTTGGGGTTCCAAACCATCACCATCCACCACCCCAAGCACCGAACTCTGACCCGTTGCTTGTTAGGGTCGGCACGCGCCAGGTGGCAGCAGGGCTACCACCATTAGGATGCTTCCACCCATCTCCTGCGGGCACCGATTGCATTTTTTTTGGGTGACACTACTGGTGCTAACGAGACCGACACCATCTCCCAATGTCAAGGATGATTTCCACAATGTGCCAGGTAAACAACCACTAATCTTCGGACATCCCACCCAGCAGTGACCACGATCACTGTTCTGGATTCCGGGCCATTGCTACTGTAGCCTTCGCTAAATTTGATTGCTACTTGAAGTGCATCCTCTGAAACTGTGCGGCTCTGCGTCTGTGGATTTCAAGCTTGTGGATGCTCCAAGAAGGTGGTAAGGTGGTAGCGGAGAGCCAAAAACTGAGGCCAGTGAATCACCGCCAGTGAATGGTCTTCAGTATCAGCCCATATTATTGGGGATTTTTGGGGGGGCTTGCCATCTGTGCCCCACTTGCGACGTTCACTTGGCCACCTCTGCCCCCGGTCCTTCAGCATATCGCGGAAGGCTCCCAGTGGCATCAGCATGATGCAAACCTGCAGAAAAGTAGAAGAACAACACCTGCAGACAGATGGTGATGTAATGATATACCCTCCAATAAACTAGCAGCAGCATAGATATAGAAAATTCACAATTCACCATTTGTGTAAATCACGTCCACGGAAAACAGACATAGATGTCCATTTCGCGTTTTGTATGTTCACAGGAGGCACAGGCTATATCCATGGTCACCCTCTGAGATCCGGGCGACAGCAAGGCATATGAGCGGATCCTGCAAAGTTTCCTGCAGGAACTTCTCCCAGGCCTTCAGCTCACCTGGCGAACTTCCCCCGATGGATGTCATGGATGTCATGGATGGGCCCATGTCTTGGAGATCACCCGGAGCAAAAATGCCCATGATCGATTCTTCCACTAATCTATTGGTTGATTTATCTGTTATCTGTTATTACTGTTATATTATGCTACTCTCTCTCTCTCTCTCTCTCCTACTTAGGTCCCACTTATTACTAAAGCGTATTGTTCGAAGTCTACTCTACATGCGAATTGCTGTCATATTCCTACTCCACCGGAGTTCACTATTAACTTACTGTTAGATTCGAGTCGTCTCTCCCTCACTGTGTCCCTTTTTTTCCTCAAGGGCTTCGCCACATCCAACGGTCCAACGGCAGCCGTCCTCACTTCATCCTGGCCGCACGGTCCTCGATGATGCTCAGCTTGATACCTTGGCCCTTGGGCAGCGAGATCCAAGGCTTCTGGCCGTCACCTAAGAGGTGGTGAATCGCTTCAGCCTCACCAAACACGGATGAACATGAGTTGTATCAGTTATATGGGTTATGTAATATGGATGAACTTATAACTTATAACATCTTATAAATTATAATCCGTATATATATATACACAGAGAGAGAGAGATAGATATATATATATACACTTATTTATTTATTTATAATGTGTATTATATATATATATATCTCTTTGTGTGTACGTGCCCCAAAAATGACCCTAAAACTCTAGTTGTGTATGGCGATCTCCATCCAGTCACCGATGACAAAGACGTTCTCCAGTCGAGTGTTGAAGGTGTGTCCCATGGCGTCCTTGACGTGCACCATTTCCTACGTCAAGGATGACCTCAAAATACGAAATCTTCCCAGATCCCCTATTTGTTTGGTGGAATGGGTGAGAAAAGACATGGGAAAGACTGTCCAAAACTCAGCAGAAGTGTCGAAGGAGCCCGGGTGCTTCTCTTCATGGGTGATGGTTCCTACGCGGCCAATGTTGTTTCCGCCGCTGATCATCACCAGGTTGCCCGTCTCAAACTTCACATGATCTAAGATCTTGCCCGTCTCCAAGTTTAACCTGGAGAAATTGATTTGTCAGTTCACCCAATGGAATCCCTTGGCTTTTCACACCCCAAAGAGCTGTTGTTGATGGATGTTCATCCCAAATATGGATAATATGGCAACTTGACATCTTGATATTCTTGATCATCAAACCCCCATTAGGCTCCCATGAAACCACCATTTCTGATGGTTCAATGGCTTGCAAAAATCCCCATGAATCCATAGGAGATCGGTGACTAAAAACGGCTCCCCACCTCACGGTGTCGTGTGCCTTGACGTCTGGGTCGGGATAGCGCACAGTCCGACCATCGTGCGTCACCGCGTAGGGGATGCCACGGGGACCTCGCATGACCTTCTTCACACGGCACAGCTTGTAGTTGGCCTCCTCTTTCGCCACCTGGAAATGGCGAAAGTTGCCGATGACTGTGGTGTTTTTTTTTGGGATCGAACATGATGATCAAAAATGCGGAGATGATGGGATATGTACAATGTACACCTGTAATGCCATAGAAGGACATAACATGTTACTGAGATATTTTCATGCGAACAGAAAGGGATTCCATGGGGGAACTGACCCATTCCCACCTTGTGGAGCATGAATCGGCCTTTGGTGTTGTATAGAAGTCGGAAATTCTCCTTGGTCTTCTCAATCTGCACCACATCCATGAAACCTGCGGGGTAGAACATGTCGCTGCGGACCTTTCCGTCCACTTTGATCAAGCGCTGCATGACGATCATCTTCACCTCACGGTAGGTCAGGGCATACTTCAGGCGCTGCCGCAACATGACAATCAGGGGAAGGCACTCACGCAGTTTGTGCGGACCAGCGTTTGGCTTGGGAGCCCATCGACCACGGAGCTTATCCAACATCCACTGCTTGGGCGCATACATGCGCTTCAAGTGCTTGATGATGCCGCGCGCCATGATTCTTTTCGCGCGAACTCAAAGTCGAACTCAGCCAAGACCGAGGCCCGGAGGCGTTTTGTCAGTGATTCAGCCCTTGAACCAAAATGGCTACGGCGGTTACGGAGCTCACAGGACTCAGAACCTCATTCGACTCATGTTCGCCGTGGTGCCTCCATTTTTGGACAAACCCACATAAAATGATCATGATTGTTGGAAAAGGCCATCTCATAAATATACCCGGTAGACAAACATGGCGTGCCGGAAAATTCCCCAATTATAGGTCAATGATTTCCCAGCTCTAAACCTCGATGGCTAGTTCGAGGATATTCCATTGCCATATGATTTTTCTGTTGTTTTTTCTAGCTATAAACCTCCAAGTTGATTGTCGCTCTGATAGTCCATGTTCCATCATTTTCCCATGATTTTTTCAGCATTTCTGGCAAATGCCACTAGGTTTTGCACCATAAAATACGGCCAAAACGAGCGCCTGCTTCACCCAGCGGTAGCTGCTCCATCAGTAGCTGGAGCCGCTGCTCCATGGCGGCTACCAGGCGTGACATGGCACCGTGGCAGCTGGGAGAAGTGGAGATAACTGTTGGAATCTTCGGTTTTGGTGGCCTGTTGCGACCAAAAAAAATTGGGGATCCGTCTCAATGGTGGTCTGCATGCCAAAGTTGGATATGATACATGTCGTTTTTCTAAAGCAATGCATCTATTTTGTAGTGGAGGTGAACCTATTAACGCTGTGGTATAAGGTAGGTGTGGTATTCATTGTGAGTCTCAAGTGGTTAACCTGTGAGGTTTCATTTTGGGCGGCCTTGCAAAGCGGTTTCATTTTGGGTATTTGTCGATATGACAACACCATGCAACACCCCCAAAGCTTCTCACGGAAGTCACGACTGGGAAATCGCAGCCAGTGTCGTGCCGTGAAATGTCTGGAGGGCACCCAAAGGGGTGTGACAAGCATGAAAAAACAGACCCAAATTCAAATACCAGAGCCCACTTTTTTGGGGGTTCACTTTTCTATCATTTATCATTCTGCAAAGCGCAAAAGCTGAGCTCCATGAGCCAAAATGCTATGGATCGTCTGCCTATCAGCCTGGCAACTGGGAGGCTACAATTCAGCTTGCTGGGAACAGCCTTTGAACCTTTTCTCGGGGGAAAAACGTTGGAAGCACGGCCATCCAATTGTTGAAACCCAAACTAATCTGTGAAGCCACACACTGCAAAAAGTGATGCACAATTGAATACATAGACAAATGCAAGATGAATAAATGCATCAATCATTTCATACCAAATTATATAGATATACAGATATGATATGGTTATGATTTCATAGATATTGAGCATAAAATGCATAAATTCATAAATATGATGCACATATACTTATATACATATATATACATATACATATATACATATATAACTAACTACACAGTATGGATATAGACATAGGTGCGGCACGCGCAGCACGGCGGAACTTTTCACTGCGTTCTTCGCCCATTTCTTGCGAAAGGTGCCACCTGCAGCCCAGCCCAGGACGGTCCACATCTAAGCCGCTTCAGCTTGGACCACGAGACCAGCTGCGTCGTCCTCAGCCGGGGCAATGCCAGCGCACCTGGTGGATATATGTGGATATACTATATTACTATACATAAATCATCAAAACATAGTTTGGTTTTGATAGGATGCTATGTAGAATATTGTATGTAGGATATGAGGTTCCAGATATGTAGCCCTCACAAAACAAGTCATTCATACATCTATCTGTCTGTCTGTCTGTCTGTCTGTCGGTCCGTCCGTCTGTCTGTCTGTCTGTCTGTGTCTGTCTGTCCGTCCATCCATCCATCCATCCATCTGTGTGTGTGTGTGAAATGTTCCCCGAATAAAATTGGAAGGCCACAATTCAAAATCCACCACTCAAGAGTCTGTTGGGCGTTTTCATTTGTTACGGAAGGGATTGCTTTGACCAGGTTATCCAGGTTGGCCCCCATGGGTTAGTGGTTTTTGACGTGTAAAGTTTATGATGCTTTAGGAGTTGGAGAAGACACAGTGACGAAATCAACAGCAGTTACTATATAGATATTTCATGATATTTCTACCAAATTATTGTACTTCGGCGTGTCCTTCCAAATCCACTGGCTCGTCCTAATTGTTCTGAGAATCGATGGCGTGTTGTCGGAGCTTGGACACGTGTCTTCATTGTGGAGCCCAGACTAGGCAAGAGATTCCACTCTGGGTTTCTGTGAAAATATGATACGCATTGATACGTCAGTACCTCAAATTGCTTGGTTTATTAAAGTTTATCAACAGTTTATCACTTTCCCCAGTGATGGCCATGTGTGGTCCTCGAAGCCTCTGAGGGCACGGCGGCAGTACATCACCAGCTCTGGGCCCTGTCCTGGAGACTGCGCTGACGCAAGCGTTGTGGGATGAAATGCTTCTAAAGCCGTGACCCCAGTGAAAGTCATTTATGACAAGTGGTAACTACGGGTTTTTTGGGTCCTCTAGTTTCGGTAAGCCCCAAATATCGTCTAGATTCGTCTAGTTTAGTTGCTGATCTATTCTTACCTTCAGTTAAACTCCCAGTGATTGAGCTACCTCGGTGTCAAAAAAGGCCTCTCAACTGAGAAAAACACCTTTCCGGGAAAGCAAAGGTAGAATAGAAGTTCTCACCAAATTGAACCTGACGCCGCCTGATGCCCCTCTTGAAAATGACAGATTCCCATTGCCAATCATAGCTACCCAAGGGTATCTGAGCCCAGGTCTGTACACAAAGGCTCGGCCCACCCCGCACCCTTCTGGGCGTCAAACTGAACTGCTCCAGCGAAAAAACCTTAGTGAGGTGAAACACGCGATTAACCATGGATTGGAAGGAGCTCCGATGAATAGCAACGAGGGTAACTTTGGGCTACTCAAACAAATTGTATCTAGTTGCCGTACTTTACCTATTGAAATTGTGATTTTCCATAGCCATGTTATATTACAAGACGGTATACAACTCTTGATTAGAGCAAGCATGTGGCCGAATGTGGCCTACAGTCATGACGAGATGTTTCTCCAAGTCCTGAATTCATTCTTGGGGCGTCCCAGTTTAACCCACGCCCATTCCTAAATGATTCCAGACGTCATCCTCACCCGCGGCACCCCTCTTTTTGAACCCACGCGTTCGCTCTGAGCTGCCCAATCTTCAGCAACCAGCGGCCCATACTAAACAGCGGCCATGATGAATCAGCGCGGGAAAATCGATCGTGCTGTACAGGCAGATGACCACCAGCCGGGAAGCTCCAGAGAGCTCTTGCATCTGGAGCCTCCCAACCATCTCCTGATCTCACCCAGGGGCTGTACAGAAACCAATCAGAATTGGCCAAATTCACAACTGCCCAGCTGCCTGAGAGCATGTCCATGGGCTTCTCCGAAGTTTTGGGCACGTCCACTTCAGATCAGGAAGATTCACGGAGTGATTTGTGATAAGCATAGCATTGCAGAAAAATGCAGAGATTGTCAGCCATGAGTCACCAACGTCACCAACTCCAATTCTCAAAGGATCATGGTCCTCCCCTGTGATTTCTTGAGAAAATTCTCAAATCCCGAGATGCTCAAAACCGTTTCAACCAGCAATCGAGTCCCAGGAACCTCTCACCAAAGTAGCCAGCAGTGAAGACATCCATCACTACCTGAAGCCGTCGCCATTTGCACCGATTTCGATGGATCAACCCGGATGGATCAACAGTGGGGCTACCATGGGCTACCCAGTTCTGACACTTGCTGATGGAAGAAAAAGCCCCTCCATTTTTGAGAAACCCTGGAATAACATCCAAGGCTCAACTGGTCCGAGCATCTCTCTTCTCAGAATCTCTGAGAATCTGTGGAACGTGAAGCTCCAAAGAATCAGCGTGGATATGGAAAAGCCGTGTTTTCCCTTGAAAATGATCGATTAGAATTAGAATGATGCATTGTCCATATCGTCAATTCGCGGCCAGGTAAATGTTCTTAGGGCACCCTGTGGACCATCCCCAATGTGACCATAATATTTTGGCCGTGTAAACCATCAAAATATAGGGGGTTGATCATTGCTATTCTATCTTTACTAACATTATGGTTGTCCCAACCTAGGAGGGTCCTGCAAATTCTCCCAATTGAACCAATTCTGGGACCTCAGTTGATCTACAGTAAATCTTCCACATGTCCGAGCCACTGTCGCAGGTCAGCCGACGCCTGGTAGAACCTGGGGCGTCGCTGGAAATCAGAAATCGCTGGGTTTGTTGTGGGGAGAGCCTAAACAAACCCATGGATTTTTACTAGTCCAACATTGTTTTCCTGTGCGTCTTCCTTGAAACCAATTCTAAGTCAGGTTTCCAAGCCTGACTAACACTTTTGCTGTTGGAGAGTGATGCCACAAGCGCAGTAGAAACATATGATGGGCAAATGGTTACATAACCCTCTGGCTTGATGTACCGTAGATATCGAGTTTCTCTCTCAAACTATTTTTGGCATCTTCTTTAAAGTCATTTAGCTTGACCCATCCGAACGTTTGGCATGGGTCTGTGCAATCTATAACATCTACGGTCTACATTCCAAAAATATGATCCCCGCTCTTTTTGGTCCGCATCGGATTCAGCACCTCGAAAGCTGAATCGGTGTTGGTTCCCTTTCTTGATGGCCTCCCCTTTACAATACCGATACCCTCTGGTAAACTAACATAACTATGGAAAATCACCATGCTATTAATGGGTAAATCCACTATTTCTATGGCCATTTTCAATAGCTATGTTAGTTTACCAAAGGGTAACCAACACATAGCCATCATTCTCATCATTTCTGATCAACGGTAACATCGCAGACCATCCACCCTGGGCTCACCAAAAAGCACCCAGCCAGTCACCCAGCGACCCAGGTCAGACGTCTTGCAGCAAACGACCCCCAAGAAGAAACTTGCCAAGACCTTGAAGTCCTGCCACCGGAAGCCGTAGTCATACAGGAAGGCGTAGAAGCCACGATGGGAATTGGGACATTCATGATCATGGGGGGCCAAGAAATATAAGAAATATTTATAATATATATATATATATTATATTATATTATTATTATTATATTATATATATATATATATAATTTATATACACAGGTTTATGCTAAAACACCTGATGGCGATGATCCAACTGACTGAGGTGACCATCAGATCATCCCAATGGGGCCAAAAAATTTCGGGGTGGATTTCTGTTGAAAGGTACTACAGTACCAGTACCTACCAATATAATTTTTATAGGGGATACCCAACATGATAATCATGATATGGGAAGATATGGGAAGCGGAAAAGCTTCCACGAAGCTTCAAGGGATCGTTTCCATCTGGCCTCTTGAATCATCTCGAATCTGTTGAATCTAGGAGCCTGTCATTCATATTAGCTCCCTGCAGGTCGCCGTCCTGTGCAGCGGCACAGGCGCCATACTCGGCGCTGGCACAAATGGGACCTGAAGAATTTCAGTCCAGGTCAATGGCCCTTCGGATCGTCACAATGGGTACACAAATTCTCCAGCAACTCGTTTCAGATCAAAGGATCATGACTATGGGGTGCGAAAATACAGCCAGCATATCCTCAATCTGTTCAATCTATTCACCATGTTCTTCCAGCCGCTGACATCTCTGGGGCCGGACATCGACTAATGATCCCCGTGCTGGTCAGGAAGGAGATGCTGACGGCTGCCAAGGTGATTGCGAGGAGAAATTGCAGCCTCAACGACAGGGGAGACAGTGACCGTTATAGCAGCTGCCGTTTTTTGGGCAACCCCCCGAAAACATGCGGAAGATGTACAGTAAAATTAATCAAGGTAAGTCACTTTGTCTACCATTTTGAAGGATTACTACTATATATATATACATGTAATTCACATTATATCAAATTCACATTATACTATGACTATAACCACCAGTTTGTTTTTTCTTGGCTCTGGAATGCTGGTTCCCAAACAGCTTGGTTGAAATCGTGAAATGTGGTGAAAAACTAACCCAGGGTTCATCATGGCAGTCTTACCACCCAAAAAAAACATTGGTATTATATATATATACTTTGGTTGATATTTGCCGGATGTGCAACGTGCTATTACAATTGCAACCTTCTGAGAGTACATGAAAATAATTCGTTTCTTGCGACCCAGCAGAGCTCGTTGCATCTGCCGCGCCCGAGTTTGAGAAAACACCAAGCGTGTATAGTCAGCATTTGTCCCTACACTTTTGGGGGGTAGTTCAACCTGTCCGCTTGCATAAAATTGACTCCGTCTGTCAAGGCAAGCACTACTTGGCCGCATCGAAAACCCCAGTAACCGTCAGTAACCATCACTAACCAGTGCTTTTTCGGGCATCACCTCCCGCTACATCCCCAGATTCTTCGTGAAGGCACATCCAGGACGACATGCTGTCCATCTCCCATCTCCTCAGGGCCAAGGAGTCCATAAAACGAACCTGCCAGGATGGTGATGGATAATCATGTAATGTCATGTAGATATGAAATGATATGGCCATCTAAACAGACCAGCAGTATCTAAACTGCCCTGAGTTTTGGAAGTCATCAATTTCACGACCGGCCTCGGGAAGTGCCCTGGCCCCGCGACACGCGGCTTCTTCAGTGCTAGGAGGGGTGTCGCGGCTTGAACCAGTTGGAAACTGGACAGCTCTTGCGCTCTTGTCGGACATGGACACCCTCCCCTCACCTTCAAAATGAGGACCATGTTGTGAACATAATCACAAAATATCTACCAAAGAAATGGTCGAAATCATCCCGAAATGGTAGGTTCATGGCATTGGGCTGGCATTTTTTGCTTTCCAAATCAAGTCCTGTGACTTAACCAAGACCGCCACGGGCCACGGAGACAGCATCGAAGTGGAACGTGGTGGGATCCCAAGCCACACCGACCTGGGCACCCGGAAATCGTCGAAATCAATGGTGGCTTTGTCCATTGCCATGTTTGAAACCAGAGGGTGTCTAAAATATCTAAAATCCAAACCCACCAAGCTTTGTGTGTGGGAAGATGTGTTTTTAGGAAATGAATGGGACTCCAAGAATAATGGCAAACCATGACAAACCGTCACCTTTCCCCGCAACACCTCGGGATGGTGTGGCATGGTCCGGCATGGTGCTCTGAGCATCCACACCCCTCCAGTTCCTCAAACTTCCAAGCTGACACCTGTGGTCCCAGTTTCAGGTCATGGACATCTAAAGGTAGCAAGCACCACAATACTGTTTCCAATTATGTTCGGCTGACTCCTGCAATGGCTCTTAAGGGTCCCTTAAGATCCCGCTCAAGAAATCGTGATCCCCATTTGATCCCCTGTTCGCGATATTGACCAACAAGTTGTGACTTCCCCACGTGCTTGCAGCCTCAAGCCAGTTTCCAAGCTAGCGAAGTTGACCCTAAGGTTTTGATATTTCCGGGAAAACCATGGAAAACCTATAAGAAATCATTGTTTTCTACCATCAAATAGAGGGGTTTCCTTCATCCCAACTTGTGGAGTCGACACCTGCTCTTCAAGAACCTGAGGCGTTTCCCCGGCAGTTGCTCCTGGAATTCGCTATCTTTTAGAGATAGGCTGCTCCCAGCGGCCTCAATAAAAACGGGGAGCAAACTTGCTCAATAAAGGGGCAAA